GAAAAGAAGCGAAGTTCAGACCAAAAGCGGAAAGTAGCCTCTAAGGAAGACTAAATGTAACACCGCCAACTGGAAAAATGAAAAGTGCTGCTTAAGGCTCGGTTGCAGAGTGCTGTGGAGCCTAGGTTATTAATTAATACTGGAGACTGAATAATCTACTTCATTTCTTAATCAGTTTTTCCATTGGAACTGCTCAGTCTTTACAAAATCTGTCCTGTTTTGAGGGGTGGGGGTAAGAGAGACGATCGCAGAGAAGGAGAGTATACTACTACATGAGAAAATTACATTTGCTCTGACTTTGCTTTTATTCGTTAAAGGTGCCCATTTGTAGATGTGCGTGAGAAAGCTCAGGATTGAATTGATCATGAGCAAAAAAAGAAAAAGAATTTGTTTCAGGTCTGAAACAACTGGATGCCCTCCATCTTCTGAAGGTAATCACAGAGACTGAGCTAAGCTCAGCTGGAGTTAGGGCTTCCTGTGCTTAGGAAAGAGGCCCGAGATGGATGGGCAGGCCTTCAAATCCAATTTGTACCCAAATTGGCTGGTAGGATGTACAAAGCCTCGTCCAGGGACTTTCAACTTGCACAATACTCTGTCCAAGAACTCCCTCCCCGCCCCCATTTCAGTTAGTAGCAGTTCTAAAAAGAAGCCATTGCTGAGACAAACGTGGGCCACTGAGTAAACAGTGCATCTTTTGTTGAGCAAGCCTACCCCCACACCTATATATAGATGGCACCCTATCTCCATATAAAATGCAATTAAAATTATTAGGAGGAATTCAAACTCACTTCCCCAAAAGTTACGGGGAACAGTTTTTAGTACGATATTAAACTGTACACTGCTTATTCCTACACAAATATCCTACTGGAGAGACTTGTATCCATGCAGTCTTTAAAATAATATACTGCATTCTTAATTTGCATGAAAGACATTTTCCCAGTCAATATAAGTTCCTGGCACATAAAATCAGATTATTACAGCTCTCATTAGCAGCAGCCAGTTTTTGCTATCTGAAAGTAAACACAAGAAAGTTATTTTTACCTGCTAAAATTTTATGCAGGATCACAAAACAATGCATACTCGGCTTTGACCTAAGAAACACCTTAAAACATTAAAAATTCATCAGTCAGTGCGGGTGTTGCATTCAGGGAATGCTCCTCCAGTTTGCTGCTGAGCTCCGATTTGAATAAAATGCCCAATGTTAACAAACAATACCCACGTTTGGCACTTTGTGTATTAAATTGATCAAACAGATTTTAAGAGGCACAATGCACAATTTGTACAGACCTGATTGAGTTAATATAATATCAGCAAATTTTACATCGAAATGATTCTGTTTCTTTTCTTTGTGTTTAAAACCAGCACAGATTACAAATTTTAATGATCTGAAAATGTTTGGTATACAAAATCATGCTTATTTCAGTATTAGCAAAAACACAAGAAATTTTTCAACACAAACACCCAGCTGTGTCTATTTTAAAAGCAGTTCAATGACAGCTTGCACTTATGAGCATGCAATCAGCTAATTTCGCTTTTTTTTCCTTCTGTGTTAATCAACACTTTCCTTCCTGCATATCAGAGTACAAATAGTATAGTTACTCCACATCAGTAAATGTTTACGTAACCTGTCCTTTCCCAAGAATCCGGTTACACCGAATCATTTCACGCTAGACCGACTACGAAAACGTACCGGGCCGTCCACCTCAGAGGGAGCCCTGTGTGCCATTATAAGTGATGGTGAGAAGGGGGGCTCTGGGGGGAGAGATGGGGAGGAGTAGGTGGAGGAATGGAGGGAGATGGAGAGGATGGAAGGAGGGAGAAGGGGTGGGAGGAGTGGGGGAGGAAGGAGGGAGGACGATGGGAGGAGGGAGGAAAGAGAGTTGAGGAAAAGTAGGAACAACAGGCCTGAGGAGGGGAGAAGAGTGAGAGGAGGAGAGTCGAGCAGGAAGAGGAAGGCCCAAACATCTCTCCAGCCCTTTAGCTCACCCAGCTCTGTGAGGAATCCTGAACTTGGGATCAATGTTTGGGGCCATGTCACTATCAGCATTGATTGCCAGAATCCTTGAATTGTTCCATATGTAAATATAGTTTGTTTTAAATTAATGTGTAGACATTTAAAAAACACATACACCCAGTGGAAGGTTATTTGAAGTCAGTCCAATATTCAAAGCTCCTTTATGGCAGTCCTAACATATACATATTTAAAAATCGCTAGCCATTTGTAATTGTTCATTCCCTGGGGTTAACGCTCTCTCAGAATTTCACGGTGTTGGGGTGGGGAGAGTGGAATAACCCCTTATTAACCTGAGTATTCATCAATTGCTTTCCTAGTTCAATTAGAAATGAACTTTAATTTTAAATATCACGCATAAGCACCACTCTTTTTCCCTGTTTTTTTAAATGTCTTATCTGCCAGATAATTTGACACTTTATTCTCAAAGTGAAGAAATGCTTACATTTTATGATTATTTACCTTACAGAGGAGGGAAAAGGTGTTCATTTATGCTTCTCCACCTCCCTCTTCTCTTGGGCTACATCCTCCGTAAAATGTGGTGTGTTTCGCGTTCATGTGGGATGAACAGCCTTTGATCAGTGTGCTCCGCACCAGATTCCAATCCCTGGGAAATGCTGGGCCTTAGCCCTGCCCCTGGCCACGGGATCCTTTTAAAGCCCCCGAATCGCAATCTCCCGTCACTTCAGCTTTCAACCAAACCTTCCCAGCCTCAAAACCCAAGAAGCTGGGATCGTGGGACCCATGTTCCCATGGCTCCTAGGAGCCTCCCAGCAGCACTGGGGGCGGGAAGAGGCTGGTTTCGGGATGCGGTTATTTCAGGATTGAGGCCCCCGCAAAATAAAAGCATTTGAGAAACTGAAAGAAAGAGGGAGTGGAAAATACGAGGGCTTTAAAACAAAAATAAAACAAAAAAAGGAAAGAAATTGACGCCCACCCCTGTATTCCCTCCTATGTCAACAAGCAAAAAGAAAACATTTCCAGGGTGATCGCTCGCGGCTACTCGCTTCCAACTCGGACTAGAAGCTGAGGAGAAGCTGAAGCAGCGAGGAGAAAACGACACCGACCCACCCCGCGCATAAGCGACTATCTGGAACAGGAAAGAAAAGGAAGGAAGAGACACGCAGAGCATGTGTTACCTGGTTTATTTCGAGACTGTTTGGTTTTGTTTTCTTTCTCGGCACCCCTCATTTCGGAAGGCCATCAGAGGCACCCACCACTGAGACACCCCCGCCCGCCGCCGCCGCCGCCGCGCACAGAGCCCCAGGCCCAGCTTCCCGGCGGCGCCCGAGCTCGCCGCCGCCGGGGCCGCGAGAACCGAGTAAGTAACCCCTGCTTGTCCCGGCGCTCGCCTGTCCACTTCCTCCTCCTCATCCCACTGCTCCCAAACCTCTCCCGACCCTCCTCCCCCAAGGTAAAGGACCCCCGCCCCCCTGCCAGGGGTGGGCCTTCCCTCCCCAACCACCCAAAGCCTCGTTCGAGCGTTACCTACAAGGGGCACAATTGTCCTATGGGCCCAGAAATGCCAGCCCCGGGCCAGCGGGGCCGACGCAGGAAAGTACTGCCTCGGCTCTTCCTCCTCCATTTCCTGCCCTCTCCTAGCATCCCCTTCTTGCGCTCCCACTGGCCATACCCCGTCCTCCCCACACCCCCGGCTTTTAAAAATAAAATTGGATACAAACTCTAATCAATAAGGACAAATACTGAAGCTTCAAGGAAAAAGGCCCAATACAGTGAGGAGGCCGGAAAAGTGAGCTATTTGCCCTAAGAGGGGAATTTGGTTGAGCAGAGCCGGCGGTTGTTGGAGCTGCAGGGGGCTCAGGGAAGGGCCTCGGCATTGCGTGCTGCCGCCGCCGTATCCCTGCGCGGCTCCGCCGGGCGGCCAGGTCCGAGGCCCGCGGAGAGGGGGAGGCGAAAGCCCGAGGGGGCGGGAGCCCAGCGGGCGG